TTCCTAGTCTTTATTCACTTAGTGTGCAAGCTAAGTCTGCTATGGAGGGTTAGGGAGAGAACTGAACAAATTTTAGTGAATTGTTAATGAGGAAAAGAAGCTAGCATTGTATATTGAAAATACTTGATAACAATATAATTTGATGACCAGTTAACTGGCCGAATGGTTAGAACGCTGGGCTGTCAAGCAGGAGACCAGGATTTTAATCCTCAGTGAGGCTGGGGTTTTTTTTTTCTTCCTGAGGGGGGGGGGGGGGGGAGGGGGGTAAAATCCTCACTTGCACAGTCGTGAGGACAGCACTAGCCATGCGGCTGTAAATCTTCAGGCTCAAAGCCCCCCTCCTGCCTTCTTCTTCTTCTCTTCCACCTTGTACCTCATCAAAGTGTCGGGGGGAGATGTAATGTTCGTTGATGAGCTCTGTCAAGAGCACTATTAAGACTGATGTTCTTTTCTGTAAGGCTGTTCTTAATGCCATCACTCCATCTTTTCCGAGGTCTTCCACTCGCTCTATACCTGTTGTAACGTTTTAGTGTGGCAGATAGTACCAGGGCATTCTTGTTAGGTGTCCAGACCACTTCGTTTGTTGTTCTTTGATGACCTGTAAGACTGGCTTTATTCCTAGCATTCGTCTGATTTCATATTCTGTTTTTCCTTGAAACTCCTGCAGCTCTTCTAAGGCATTTCATCTCTGTTGTCACAATTTTACGTTCATTGGAGGATGTAAGTGTCCACGTTTGGCATTGATAGCATAGTGTAGGCCTCCTGCCTACACTGCAAAAGTGATATAATAAAGGCAGTTATTGGCAGATCAGTTAACTGCAGGTCTGACTTCGCAGCAAATGGATCACCCAACATTTGCTCTCTTCCTGTGCCAATGAAAACCACACAGGATACCCCTTGGGTTACTTGTAGAAAAAAAAAATTGAAAACAGAGCGCAACTGAATAACTAGGTCTTTGGCTTATGGCAAAATCAGTTGAAGAACTCTTGAATAAGAATGATTTAAAAGTTTAGAGATCATATGAGGTGAAAAACCATGACCGCCAACATTTATCAACAAAGCAGATGATAATAAGTGAACACATTCCTTTTTCTGTGATTATAGATATGCCAAGCCGAAACATTTCATAATAAAATGGTGAATCTATTATGCAACAGGTACAGGTAAGAGTAAAAATCTGACGCTTTTAAATATTCTTCTTCTGGTTCGTGTTCACCTGCTGTAAACTCAGGTGGAAAGTTCAGGTTATTCATTTACTTCTAGACTTTTCGTCTTGTTCAAGTACTTAGGAGTCATGTGTACATTCATTTTACAGATCTGGTTTATTAGTGTGCAAAGTGTTGGTACCTTGCCTCTCTTGCAGATGCACTCCGACTTCGGAGTCGATCCTGACAACTTTTGCCAGGCTGCCCGCTGGGAACCTGGTTCTAGGATCCCTGTTTGGGTTCCGGGAACCTATTGTAGAGAAAATAAAATGCATACCGTTGGAGCTGACTAACTGGAGGCATCCTTTTAGAGGCAAGGAACCAAAAGTCTGCTTACCACACACACACACACAAACCTAGATATGTGAAATGGATGTGCACGTAAGACTCATATTCTAAAATAATACTAACGTCCGGAAGCAGACGAATACCCAGAACTTTCTACTGGAGTTTACAGCCAGTGAACGAGAAAAAGACAGAGATTCTAGGTTGATCATAGAGAGGTGGAGCTGGGTCTTGATCAGTTTGAGTCCTGGTGCCGGTACACCCACCATGTTTGAATCAACATGTTTGAAAGTGAATCGTGGACAGAAACATGAAAGCTGAGACTACTTTGAACAGATTAAAAGAGCACTAAAGACTTTTTTAAAATTGTATTTACAAAAACTCGTTAATTTTCTCAGAAGCAGAGAATTGGAGGAAAAAGGGGGGGGGGGGGGGGGCTATAAGTACTATAACCATACAAATGGCCAAATAGACAATTTTCCAGGTCGTTCTGAGTGATAATAACAATAATATCAAAACATGGACAGCAGTGGCGGGTTGGTACTTTTCCGTCTTTCCAGACGATAGTGTTATATTGTGTTTTAGGGAGGTATACAAATCACAGCCTTTGGCGATGGGGAGTGTGACAACAAGACTCGCTCCCGTCAACAAGAAGTCAATTAGACAGAGCACAATTCCTAGACGCATTGAGGCCAGGAATCGAGTCCAAAGAAACGAACTATGGAAGATTCAGCAAGAACTGTCAAAGCTCGGACGACACTGTAGGCACCTTTCTGTTTTTTTCTAAATGATTTTGTTATATTGTGTTATATAGAAGAAGAGACTCACAACACGTGACGATTGTGACTAGCAAAACTCGTTCGCGTAGAAAAACAAACAAACCGTAAAGCAAGAAATTCTAGACGAACTGAAGTCATGGATGAAGCTCAAGATGTCTATACCACAACACCCGAAACCCCACACCTTCCCTTTCCATGACTGTTTTTTTTTTTTTTTAATGATTGCAGTGCGTTATTTTACGGCCTTATTACTTTAGATTCCGAAACACTGGATTTTATGAGCCATTATTTTTATTAGTATTTTTGAAGAAATGATCCCTGATCTTCCAGTTGAAAGGTCTCCGTTTTCACGGCCATATTAAGACTCGATGAGGCCCTAAGCTATCTAAAGCCACGAAGCTCCCACCCTTTTAAATAACACCATCTTATCTTAGAAAACTTTAAAATATACACGCTAATTATATATATGGAAATATATTGTCGTTTAATTTATAGTAAAAAACATTTATAAAAAATGTGTCTGCAAAATTTTTCAGATTGTATTATATAGGCACATTCCTCTTAAAGACTTTAGTAAAAGAAAACTGCATCTGTGAAGAAGAAATAGGAATGTGCTGAGGCCCCTTAGATTATGAGGCCCTAGTTTAGTTAGCTTATGCCTAAATCCAGCATTGCTTTTTTTATCTTCTTTTCCTAGGTCCGGATCCTTTTCCATGCATTCAAACGTATAGGGCATATAATACTAGACCTATATTTTATAGACCAATGGGCATTCGGTGGGTGATTTTATGTTATCAAAGTCGACGTCTTTGCACACCGGGCATTCCCATGCGTGCCCAGTCCTACAATGCAGCAGCCACTCGAAGGTACCTCTACTGATTGTTCCCATAAGGAGCTGGTTACAGTATCTCCTGTCTTTACATCGAAGACGACATAAACGTGCTTAATGAAGCTTAACTCCTCACTCACGCATTCGTGTTAGCGTCAGAGATTCAACATTATCCCCCAACCTAGTGTTGATGACATCAGCTCTGTCCATGCTTCTTTCCGTTTGCATTGGTGCATCACTTGCCAACATTCAGTGGGTGATGTGATCACGCCGGGCGCCTTTACTTCTCATGACTTTACCTGGTGCCCATTTAAAACTTTGTCGACCTGGGAGCCGAAGTTAGGTTTTGAAAGAAAAAAAGTGCGACTCCGTTCGGATTCAAACCCGCAGACGAGCGTGTAACCGCTAGAAAGAACACCAGGCTGCCAGTTAGGCAATCCGCGACTAAATATTTGGCCGATTGCAAGTAAACCACCTGGCAGCATGGTTACAAACAGGTCAAAGTTCACAACCACAATATCCCTTCAGTTTTTGTCTCTCTCTGCCGGCAATGTCATCACAAGAGACACTCAAGCCTTGGTGTTTTTTGTTTTCTTTCTGGAAAACAAAAGTTGCCGGTACTCACCACAAAGTGTCCTAGTAGTGTTGTAGAAAAGAGTACCAGTAATAGGCTAGACAGTTCTGAAACCAACACTACACGTTCACTTATTTCAAAAAGTATTGAGGTATCTTCCTCGACAGCCGAAGCGGTAAAAACTAAAAGTGAGGGAGAAAAGTCAAAAGAAGACTTACTAATATTTATTATTTATATTCTAAACTCTACTACCATCGCAGGAGCTACACATAAAAAGATCTGAAGTGAAAGCAAGAGGCCGTCCTAGGAGAAAATGGATTGATGACATTAAAGAGCTTCTACATCGAAACGGAATGACAGTAGCCATTGCTGCCTATGAAGCAATGGATCACAAACTGTTCCTCCCCACAACGCTTAATGCAGAAGTGGAAACTGATCATGATGATGATTTAAATTCTTGTCAGATAATTATTCATTCATTAGCCTGTGGCGATTTAAATGTCACGTAGCGCTCACAGTCTGTTCCATTTGATCCTGTGTAATCAACTCCGTGTCATGGATGGAATCCAGTCCAGTAGCTTTGGCCTCTACCCTCTGTTAGGGTTTCTTGTGGACGTCCTTGCTTCCTCTATTTACTGTTCTAGTATCTGTGATTCCCTCCTCGTTTCTTCTCGGAATGTGTACAGTATAACGCCATCTTCTTAGTCTTTTACCGGTTGATACTAGGGATTGCCCCAGACATTTCTCCATCATCCAGTGATAGTGTCTTATTTTTTCACTCCTCATGAATTAATTTTACTTTAATTTTATGTTGAAGATTTTCTTCAGGAATTTGTTTTCAAATACATTTAACTTTCGTTTCTCTAACTTTCAGTGGCATAGCCTGTTAAAACTAAAATAACATTAGAACTGGACAATACATTCAAACCAGTCATCTCCTTATAAGATGCAATTTTTCGTTATTTGAAGCCCCACCCTGGCTCTTGCCAGGGGCTGCAATATAGCCATACCATAAATATGGTGTAATGGCTGAATGTGGTTTCTGGAACCTCTCCACGGTGATCCTCATCCACATGGTGGCACTTTGTGTCATCGGGTGTTTTTTGCTTGTGTGATGTCCTAGTTGGGTAAAAATCTACTACTACTAACTGGACAATTTGTAACTTGGTTTCAAAACTTTACAATTTAGAATTGCATATTTTTTGTGTCTATCTTTTCCAAATTCAGATGCTAGAACCCCACAGTTTTAGTGTACATATTCTGAGAATGAATATTTAAGCTGACATTCTGTTATAACTTTCATTCAACAGGACAAATAAATCTTCAAAATGTCAGAGTTTGATGCTCGTCTTAGCACTGCACTGTATCACATTGCCATTCTAGGAACTGTGGCATACTTTGTGGCGGTTTATGTGTTTGGTTTCCGAAAAGAAAAACTAGAAGCTTTCATATGTTATCTCCTGTCTGGATGGGTACACAGAAAGTTCTTTCACAGAGAAAAAGCGATCTTGTTTCAGCAAATGCAAGATATAAAACAGAAATCAAAAACAGAGTTAGCTATTTTAGAAATCGGTGTTGGAAGCGGCATGAATTTCAGATTTTATCCGGAAGGAACCAGAGTGACTTGTCTGGATCCTAACCCACACCACGAGGCGTATTTGAGAAAGAATTTGCAGAAGTGTGATAAGAATGTCAAGGTTGTTGGCTTTATCCAGAGTTTTGCAGAAAATATATCAGCCGTTGAGAGCGACACATTCGATGCTGTTGTGTGCACATTAACTTTGTGTACAGTACGTGACCCTGCTAAAGTTTTGTCAGAAGTCAGGCGAGTTTTGAAACCAGTAAGTGTACAAGTTTAGATCCAGTTTACTTCCACACACATTACAATCTTACTTCCACACATACACACACATTACAATCTTACTTCCACACATACACACACATTACAATCTTACTTCCACACATACACACACATTACAATCTTACTTCCACACATACACACACATTACAATCTTACTTCCACACATACACACACATTACAATCTTACTTCCACACATACACACACTGGATTACAATCTCTGTGCTTCCTGCTGACATATGGGAACACAGCACTTATGAACTTCCACACATACACACATGTCGATTCTTACTTCCACACATACACACACATCACAATCTTACTTCAAGGATGGTTTGGCTACACAGCACAATCTTACTTCACAGACGCTTTGAGAATCTTAGCACATATCTTACTTCCACACATACACACACATCACAATCAGTGTTGCTGGCTTAGGTGTTGGAATTGAAACTTGTGCCGGGTTCGATGAAGATGGGGCCTTGCGCTGAATTTCCTGACAGTGGCACTGAGAAGCCGATAATTCAGAAGGCAATGACATCACAACTGAACATGTCAAGGATGGCTTTGGCTAAACCACAACAGCACTTCAGACTTCACAGTAGGTTTGCAATGACCTGTAAAGGATATGAAAACTAATGCAAAAAATTTTGTACATTGCTTGTGTATGTCGCAAGGGAAAATTAACTCATACGAGTGGGTACAGGTTACATACTTCTCATAGTTGATGCCATGTGATGTTGAAGTCATTTCTATCCACAACCTTCTGTCTCCTTGCTATGGGTCAATTCTGACACAAATATCTTTCATGCCATTATGTCAAACTGTTTGGCATCTTCCATCTTGGTCTCCCCTCCAGCTTTCCAGCCCTCACAATGTGTTCCAGTTTTCTCCTTTCCCATGGCATGACCAAAGAACGTAGACTGTCTCTTTCTGATGTTGGCCATTAGTTCTCTTCGTGAGTCAGATTCTTTCAAGACATCTTCATTACTCTCTCATCATCATCATCAGGTGCCTTGCCGACTGGCGTGGGCGATCATGCCTCTCCATAATCCGCGATCTCCTGCAGCATGTATCAGTTCGTGTGCCGACACACCCCCATGCCATGCAACAAGACTGTCAAAGACGTTGTCTTCCTCTATCCCTCCTTCCACAGATCTTTCCAGTGGTCACAACATTTTCTATTTTCCCCTCTTCTCATAACATGGCCGAAAAAATGATGACTGTCTCCTTCTGATGTCAGTGATAAGAAAACCTCTTGGTTGCTCTTTTTGGCTGTCCAAGGTATTCTAAGCATTCTTCTGTAAAACCACATCTCCGAGGCCTCCAACATTACTCTCTATAAGGTTATAAAGACAGTAAATAAACTGATTTCTCTGACTAAGACAGAATGCCTTGTGTCACCAAGCTACACAAAGTATATATATATATTTTTAACTCTTTGAGTCCCAGGGGGTTAATATCACAGGTCCAAGGGATAGTAAAGAGTGACTTAAATTGACGCATCATGCGTTAATGGGGTTTCTAGGTAGGAACCTATGAACATATGATGCGTTCCTTGGGACTCAAAGAGTTAAAGGAGAGATGCAGATCATAAAGTAGACCAAGAACAAAGTGGAAAGACAACATCACAGATAGGCCTACATAAATACAATTTTAGAAAGAGATTTACCTTTTGGATGGGAACAAAAATTGCTTGTTTGGAAGGGGAGTCACCTTCCATTATGACATCAGGTAATGTCCCGTCTGATGATTCATGTCCTGATTCTTCAGCATTTCCAGATGATTCCCCGGCACTCTTTTTTTTTTTTAAATTAAAGAAGTTATCCAGTGTTTTTCAAAATAATCGAAAGAGCTGATTAACTAAAGCGATGTTTGGGTGCCATTTCTTGATGAAAACCGGCACTTTTGCCCAAGTGGACAGCCAATCCTTAATTTCAGCACTTGGAACCGGTTTATCGTCTTTTTTCCCCTCGTCTGATGACTCCCCAGCAATGCCGGAGGAGGGATGAATATTGACTTTTCAGGTGAATATCAAACAGAAGTTCTGATGAAAAAACAGGATGAATATTGGAACTTCCCTGTACAGATTCAATAAAAAAAAAAAAATATCACTTACAAAAAGTTGGGAGTTCGTGGCTGAACTGTGAAAATAAGAATGGGTCCACTGTCTTATCTAATTGGAAACCACTGGTCTACATCAGCATAACACATTTGGAGTAAAAAGATTGTGTCTTTGTTGTCTCACAGACATCAGAATGAGACAGCCGTTATTTTGCGGCCATATTAGTGGACAGACAATTGAGAACGTTCTGTAACAATGAGAAAGATATACAAGACACTCTCAGTCAGCACAAAGAAACATCTTATACAAAGTGTATTTATTCCAACCCTGTGCTATCAGTGCCAGACATGATCACTCATAATAAACTAGAAAAGAAAATTAGTAACCATGAAAACCCTGTGCTATCAGTGCCAGACATGGTAGTAACATGGAATGTGCTATCAGATGAACAAGAGTGCCAGACATGAGATCACAAATCTAGAAAAGAAAATTTCATAAATGAGAACACAAGAGATCGAAATTTCATAAAGAACGCACAACTTTTTCTAAACAATATACACAAACAGCATATCAAATGGTTTGCACACTTAGAATATCTTGTGATACCATACCATGCATAAGGCATATAACAAAAGTAGAAAAACTAGACCACGAGGTAGATCAAGAATAATATGGACAGAGGAACTAAAACAGCAATATGTGTCTATGGTTGAGGCAGCCAGAAGAAGAACCTTATATCTCACTCAACACCTGAAGTGGTAAAAGAGCAGTGAAGAAGAAGAAGGGTAAAGATGGACCTCTTGCCTACCACCCCCTCCCCCTAAGCGGTTAATTTTCAGTTGACCGAATATGCCAGATAATACATCATATCGGTACAACTGAATATGCTGGATAACACAATTTTTAAAAGCCTGATAATACATATTAAAAGGCCAGACTATGACTAAATGGGTCAGATATCTTCTTCTTCTTCTTTCGTTCACTTGAAATAGATTATCTATATCTGCAAAGTTGTCTCTAGTATGAACTTCACTGACTTTTGTAATTCACTCAGCGACCCGTAAAGTTTGACTAGCACCGATGTTTCTCTTGGCCAAAGGTTTTGCCTTGATATGTTGTATTTGGGACAGTCTTGAAGGACATGATCTGTCGTCTCAGGTGTCAATCCACGTGTGCTTTTGGTTGATTCGCTGATTTTAAATGTTGTGTACATGTGGCTGCGAAGTCGATTGTGTCCTGTTCTAAGGCGTAGAATAATAACTTGCTCTGGTCTGTCCATAAAATGGTAATCATCTTGTGCCAGTTTTGGTGGCTTTCTGATTGATTGATTATTCTCTTCTTTTGATGATAAGATAATATGCTTGGCCAGAAGTGTTTAAATACAAATGTGAGTACTTAAGTTGAAGTATTGTTTATATTGCAGGGCGGAACATTTTTCTTTCTGGAACATGTGGCAGCACAAAAGGGATCATTTATTCGTCGAGTGCAGAACATCCTCCAGTACATGTGGCCACATTTGGCTAGTGGATGCAACATAAACAGGGAAACCTGGTCCTTTTTGGACCAGTCTGAGTTTTCTCAAGTACAGTACAGACATTATTCTGCCAACACATGGTTGTTTTTCTATCTCCGACCAAGCATGTACGGAACTGCTGTCAAGTGACGCCACTGTGGAATGGTGTCTTGGAACGCATTAGCTTCAACTGCATATTATAATGTAGTCAGTATGGCAATGTACTTAACTCTTTGAATCCCAGGGGGATTATCATCAGACACCCAAGGGGTAGTCAAGAGAGATATTAAATCAGTGCATCATGCGTTCATTGTGCCTCTAGGTAGGAAACTGAACGTGTGATGCGTTCCTTGGGACTCAAAGAGTTAATGAGTGCAATAACTTGTATACATGTCTGCAGCAGGGACCACCAATATTTGTGTATCAAAGAGCACGTACCTGACTCCAGCGGCCATCTTTATTTATTGTCAACTGTATTTTTAATATTGTGCGCTCGTGTGTGTGTATACATACACATACAGTCTGTGGTTTAGACATTATGAACGTGCTTCATATTTCTGGAACACCTTTGAATCTATCTGGAGTGCTGAGGAGGGGATCAGAGCACCTGAGCATACTAATCACATGTGCACTGCAGTTTACCTCTTGCAAAATGATTGTAACTTTCTACTCCAGCATAGTTTTTCAATAAGTGGACTTGTACAAGATCATTACCCAAAAAATAAAAAAAATTGTACACAGAAGAAAACAACTCTACTGAGTTTTGGACAGCAATTTATATAATTTGTTAACTTCACATAAACTCAAAGAAAAACATATATGCCAGTTTGACATTTCCACTTTAAATGAGCAGTCTAAGGCAGGTAGCCACTACATATACAAGTTGTCATCGTGGTCCTGGCACATTAAAAATGTGTGCAAACAGGCAAGAAGTTTTTTTTTTTTTAATTTGTTATTAAATTTTCAAAGCTGTTTCATGACGTACGTAATGTAGATGCATGCAGTCGCCTGTTACTGGTGTCAGTTTAGTGCAGTTAAGTCGGCCAGCCTCATGCCAGACATTGTTACAAAATCCGAACTGAATGTCATGACCAAATATATGTCACTGGCTGTGTTTATTTAAAAAAAAATATATATTTAGTTGGCACATTTCCGACTTTCAAGATGATAGTGTTATATTGTGCTATGCAGAGGCCTGAGACTTACATCCCATGTTGATGGCGAGTGCGACTAGCAAGACCTGCACGTGTCAAGAAAAGTCTTCCACAGTCTGAGCATGGGATTTCAGGACCAATGTTGCCAATATTTGGGTTTCTTCTCAGACGCTCAACTCTCATCCTTTCTGCAATCATTTCTTCCTTCATTCTCAATCCCTTTCTAATTTGCCTCCCTTCAAGGCCACACAGTCCATGGTATTTTGTTGCCCGGAATCCACATCAATACCTGTATCATTTATGTCCCGCTTGCACACATCTCTATATCATAGAAGAGGTCGGCCTCAACTTCTTGTACCTGTCTGTAATTCCTTATCCTGGTTCTGGCTTTCAGCCTGCGTGCATTGTAGAGGGCCGCCGTCAGACTGATAATGGATAAATATACCACCTTCTTGAACTTAAAAGAAGTATATTCCAAAGAGGGTCAGAGCATAAGAGCAAGCACACATACCTGCTTCACTCCATTGTTAATAACAAACTCCTCCGATGTCAAAACTATTTGAAAAATATATGCACACAACATTCAACAAACTCAGCCTCTTCTGTACATAAACTATGGGGTTTTGGGCAAATGAAAGCCACTGCACCCCTCCCCCCCTTCCACAACCAGAGAAAGCAAATAAGGAGAAACATCATCGAGTAGGGGGGACACCAATTATAACACCAGATGCTGGACGAAAGTAGGAGGTACACCAACCTACACTCGGCAACAAATGACCAGAAGTAGAAACAGCCCAGTGCAGAAGGAAACAGATCTGAATCTGTCCATGATTAGCACCCACAGAAGACTTAACAGCAAGCAAAAACCATGGACAACAAAAGTGCAAAGAAACCAAGGTCAATCAATAAAGAAAAAGAAAATTCAGATGGTGCAAATTTTTGTTGTAAAGAAAAATCTGTTTATTCTGTGCAATTTTTCTAACTTGAACTAATTTCTGATAAGGAGAACCATTTCTTGGTCCCCAGTGAGTTTCCTTATCAGGTCTGCACTATATTTAAAATGATGTTCCACACGAATGGTACTTACAATTTATTATGCGACCTTTATCTTCTATAACACTAAATGGGATGAATTCCAGAAAAGTAAGAAATACAAGAAATGTCATTTGGCCTCTGGTATCAAAAGTTGTCAGAGACAGAAGATGGCAATATATATGTCACATCTTGAGGAGAAGCAAACAATCACTAAACAGGCTCTTAAACGGGAAACAAATCGACTGAGGGACCGAGGACAAGACATTCCACAATATCACCTCAAGCATACCAAATTTAACATGTGGCCAACCATAACAGAGTTGCCACACTGAAAACATTGACTTTCTCTTTTGAGTTAGAGACATCAAATGAAGTTTTTAACTCTGCACACAGTGAAAGAAACATATGTGCAGGATGATATTTTGCATTAAATAAGCATTTAACTGATTTAGGAAGAGAACCAATTGCTTACATCAGAAGGGGAAAAAACTGGCATACATTGTGACAATGGGAAAGACAGAGAGAAGATGCTGGACAAATTGACATTATGGTATGGAAGATCATCTGTCAGAACTGACAAAGTACACAAGACAAAAAGTTGTGGTTACACATGACTAACAACACCTCACAGGATGGACTATAAGGAGATGATGAGACAGACTATATGAAGACACAAGACAGAAGTACATGGATAGACATAAGACATAAGTACATGGATAGATATGACTACCAACACCACAGACTATATGAAGACATAAGACATAAGTACATGGATAGATATGACTACCAACACCACAGACTATATGAAGACATAAGACATAAGTACATGGATAGATATGACTACCAACAGCAGGGACTATATGAAGACACAAGACAGAAGTACACGGATAGATATGACTACCAACGCCACATGGCATGGACTAAGAAGAACCACCACATTTACAAGTTATGATCCAAGCACGCTTAAAATGTGTGCAAACAGGCAAGATGATTTTTGACAATTATGTTACTGTTTCATTACACATAAAGTATCCAAAAGATGCATGAGGGCACCTGTTAGAGATGTCAATATGGCTACATCGGCCAGCCTCACTTGACAAGGGCAACAAATATTGACAAGGTTAGAGCTAAAATGCCATTTGCATTTTAAACAGATCACTAGTATAGCCAGCTTTATATAACTGGCAGTAAAATTTTTTTTGAAACACATGCAGTCACTTAAAAATAGCTGAACAATTGAAAACATTAACATTGATGTTTTAGCACGCAGACAGTACAAAGTTACCCTCATGGCTGGTGACTGGTCTGGCCAGGACAGAACCCCTCTTATACAGTATTTGATAATTTTTTTCTACAGGCATGAAGCTCATGGACAAAGTAACCACATAAATCAGGCATGTCACAATTTTGTATTTTCATTTTTAAAGTAAAATATCAGAAACTATTTTATGGCTTTTATTACCCACAATCCGTCATTGAGAAAGTGGATATTATCCACACCGACACCTTTGTTTTTGGACAATCTGCAACAGACAAAAACAAATAAGAATGTATAAAAAGAAGCCATGCACTCAGAATGAATAAGACCAGACTCCCCCATCAAGCCCTCAGATGGACACCGAAAGGGAAAAGAAAATGGGAAAGACCAAGAGAGACCCTGTGTAGAACCATCACCAGGAAAGGTTCAACCATGGGTCTAATGAACACCCAAAGACCCCAAACAGGTGGCAACGAACCGCCAGACTTGGAAAGCTATGACCTCTGCCCTAGGCTTAAGAGGAAAGACTAACTAACTAACCCGACTTTAGGAAATCCCGCTGCCATAAACAATCAGCATGGAGTGAGCAGAGGGTCATGACAATATTCAGAGGGTAAGGATGTCAGACAGCTATACTTTGAAGAAAGCTGCATCTGGCTATCAGCACGGGAACTCTTCACTGACTACCAAGGAAAGGGAAGAAGCATTCTGGGAATGTCCCAACTGTGGTGATCTTCTTCTTTTCTCTACTCCTGGAATGCCTTGCAGCATCAGGACAGGAAGAGATCTCTGGAACACAGACCCTTCTGTTCACTTTGTATATTGTACTTTATAATGTCTCTGATATTTTCGCAGTCCATCTTCTGCATGGTGAATCTCTGTATCTGTATAACATTGCTCTCTGTGGTGCCCTGTCTGCTGCCAATCTTTTCACATGACTATTTTATCTGCTGCCTACCATTAAAGTACTGATTCTGTGCTGACTTCCCTCCTGATATCTTCGTTGCTAAGTGGATATTTCCTTTGTTACACCTAGCATGATACATGAACATTTCATTTCTGTGGTGAAATATTTGTTGTGGTAGAAGAGCGTGATGATGCCCCTTCTTGATTCTGCAAACAACTACCTCTTGTGGATCAGGAAACTACTTTCCCAATAGAAACATATGAATGGAACATTAAAGTAGAAAAGAAAACAAACTCACATTTCTTCAGAAGACATTTTGGTGACCCCAATAGCCAGCGCGTGCTGTTTGCCCTCGGCCATGACTGCCTGCACTTAGTTAAGGGAATCATTCTTCTAACAGCCACAGACGGAACTCATCTTATTTCATTACACATTTTACAGAACATAAACATGAACACAGACAGAACACGTCTTACACCGTTACACATTTTTTTGGATTCCAAACAACTGTAATTCTTCTTCTTTTGTTGGCTTGAAATCAATGATCTTTATGTGCAATGCTGTCTCTAGTATGAACAGCTGAGCATCCACCGGCTGTAAACTCTGCTGGAAAGTCCTATTTGTTTGTCTATTTCTGGACCCTGAACCTGTTCCAGGACTTGAGTTTTGCATGCACATCCATTTGACAGATCTGGCTCATTTGTATGCAGACTGTTGGTTCCTTGCATCTCAGGCATATGCACTCCAGCTTCAGAGAAAAAGTCCCTTATTAGACAACTTTGAAGTCATGCTTGTTAGAAAAAAGAAGGCTGTAGGTCTATTCACCCCGGTACCCCCCACCCCCCAAACAGAGTCATGGAACCAACATGGGGAAATGTAGCTCAGATGAATCTTCTGTTCATTTGTCATTTTAGAGATCATCCTCATCACACATGACCATAAGTACTCCGATCTCCTCCTGTGTATGTCTCCAAGGCTAACAACAACTATTCTGTTCTGGCTCCCGCACTTGGTTTTCCTGTCTTGCGGCTCCAACTGGTACAGCCAGTCTATTCAGTGAAAAATAATTTTCCACGAAACTGAAAGCCTCCCAGCATACAGTCTCTCGTATGGCACTGATGATGTCTCTTCTATCCACAGAGGACCCATTTCTGATAGTCACACTGCCAGCCATAGTGTTTGCTCTCTCATTGCTTTTCACACCAGCCATGCTAGGGTCTTTGTCACAGCCATGACCTTCGCTGTCATGCTGTTGGTAGTAGAATCAAAGACCCCATTGTTTTTTTTTAACGCCTTTCCCCTTGGTTCTTGTCATAAAAGCCCATGCATTTCACTTCTGAGGAATCACATAAACCTTCAGTATATATAACAGCATCTTTCAGTGATAAAGATGAATCTCTGCATCTGTAATGCAATGCTAAGTCTATTCTTCAGAGACCACACACAACCCACATTTAAAGCTGCAAGGACAGAAGAGGAAACACTAAGAAATGAATGAACAGATGTGCCGTCGAAGGATACCACAATCTGCTCCTTGTCCACCTTGGTCATTCGGGCTCCAGGGGAAGTCAGGCCCGGGCACATGATGTTGGCCCCACTGAGGACAAACCTGATGGCCCCCTTGTCCACCTGCATGTGTGGCAGGATGAAGGGATCTGTGGTGAGAATGCAACCACAAGTCAGCATGGGTTAAAGACATCAACATTCACAACAACTGCTAGTGCTAACAGTTACAAGTGAGATGGTGCACATCACTGCACCGGGTCTCCCCGTGTGGGTTCCAGGGCCACACTTTGTGGAGGAAAATTAACAGAACCACTGCCCCCCCCCCCCCCCCCCCCCCACCACAACAAGAATGTTGTAAAAGACTAATTAGAAGTGATACCTTCAAAGTCAGAGTATATCTGCCTGCGAGGCGAAAAACCAACAATATGCATTCAAATAAGCCAGACATGTGAAAAAGGATGCACATACAATGCTCAAGTTCTGGAACACGACCATGGTCCAGAAGTGGATGAACAACCAAAACTTTTCCGCCAGAGTTTACAGCTGGTAAAAGAAGAAGACTGCACCACGTGTTGTACCATATGGCTCAGTCTCTCTGATAGTTGCCTGCTAAGAAAGTGGCAGTGATCAAGAGTATCATGAACACTCCAAGAGCAACAATTCACCAGGTTTTCTTTGACTTATGTACCAAATAACTGACCTTATGGCTAACAGTCACCACAGCCCTGTTATGCCCATCTGTCACATAAGGCTCGCAGTTTATTCCTTCATTCACATCTATCTTCAATCCCTTCAATGTCATGGACACAGTCCAGTTCATGACCTTTAACCTCTCTCATCAAGAGCTGTTTTATGGTTTCATGTGGACGTCTTCTCTTTCTTAGTCTTTTTATTGCCCATTCTAGAGCCTGTTTGGTGATTGAGTGCTCGTTTCTATGAGTCCAATACAACTGAGTTGCAACCTGAGGCACCAGTAATTGACTTGTAGCATGAAACACCAGTTAATAACTTGCAGCATGAGACACTAGTTAATAATTTGCAGCATGAGACACCAGTCAATAACTTGCAGCATGAGACACCAGTCAATAACTTGCAGCATGAAACACCAGTCAATGACTTGAAGCATGAAACACCAGTCAATAACTTGCAGCTTGAGACACCAGTCAATAACTTGCAGCATGAAACACGTCAATAACTTGCAGCATGAGACACTAGTCAATAACTTGCAGCATGAAACACGTCAATAACTTGCAGCATGAGACACTAGTCAATAACCTGCAGCATGAGACACCAGTCAATAACTTGCAGCATGAGACACTAGTTAATAACTTGCAGCATGAAACACCAGTCAATAACTTGCAGCTTGAGACACCAGTCAATAACTTGCAGCATGAAACACCAGTCAATAACTTGCAGCATGAAACACCAGTCAATAACTTGCAGCATGAAACACCAGTCAATAACTTGCAGCATGATATAAAATTACTAAACTTAATAAGCATAATTTTACTGCTCACTTTAGCTTGAGGTTCAGGAAAATAAAAATGGATAATTACAGATTGATTGTTTGACAGGTTCCACCTCACATCTCTCAGAGGATGAACTTATGTTGATCAGCTGCACTCCGAAAAGGAAGCAAAGTTATTAATGACCAAAACACGTTTAGCTTTCCCCCCAAAAAAGATAAGTGGGGAATATCCAATCAACTATGCTGATTCTTTTGCCTGAAGATAACACATCACAAAAACCAGAAGAAGACAGTCATTGTTTGCCCTTATTCTGAGAAGAGGGAAACTGAAGCATATTGGGACCAATGGAAAAATGTGTGGGAAGAGAGACAGGAGACAGTGTGAGAAGGTTTTTGACAGTATTTTGTTATGTCATAGAGGGGTGTCAGCACATGAACTGATACATAATGTTGGAGCTTGCAGGTAAAATAGAGGCCTGATCGCCCATGTCAGCTGGTAAGGCACTGAATGATGGCGATGATGATTTATGCCCAGCTCGCTAGCATAGTTGGTTAAACCTGACTTTGTGGTGACCGGGTGAAGAGCTCCTTGTGGTCCGGGTTCAAGCTCGAGGGTAGGCAGAAAAGCCACATTTCTCAAAGATTTACGGTACCTATCATGGAATCAAGGCCAAAGGGTTGCGATATCCTGGAAACTTAAACAAACAAAAACAAACACACACAAAAAATGATGATTTACACGCAGAACATTGACAAGAGTCTTACTGCAATAAGAAAAACTGACTTACATTTATGTAATAGCTTTAGTGATGGATACAAGGGACCCTCCCGTTGTCGGAAGAAGAGGACTTCGCCAGACTGGTTGCACAAAAGCTCAATGTGTTCGTGGCTGCAAGAAGAATTAACAAAAGCGCTATTTACTACACTGCAGACACAAAAACCTGGTATATAGCATACTAAAACTATGTTAACACAAACAAAATGTTAGAGCCAGCCCAAATGTGAAGTATTAATTATTATTTGTCCCCAGTTAGCAAACATTTGTTCACATTAACTCCTGACTTTCTGGTCTCCTGGAATTTGTGTTAACAAGATTTTATAGTACATACAATACAGATAAGTCAGAACTCGAAGATCTTGCAACCGGATTAGGGAAAACAGGAAGATCTAAAGGAATGGACATTATAGCAGAGAGACAAAAAGTGAGATAACAGTTATAAATAAAGTGAAACATTAGCAAGTAAATGCTTTAAAACAATTCAACTCCACCATTCGCTAACTGTTTTCTCTTGGAAAAAAATGAGTCATGAACCTGTAGGAATTCACCAGACAAAAATTGAAAAAAAAACCAACCCATTTAAAGCAGGTCACTAATTAATTAGAGTTGCTCTGGTGTAGCCACTAGATGCTCACCTGCAGATCTGAAGATTGTGGGTTCAAATCTTCATGGCGCCGGATTTCTTCACACATGACCTTGGCTCCCAGGCCTACCCATCCCTAAATGGGTACAAGGTAAAGTCCTGGGAAGTAAAGGCGGTCAGCCCGATACTGACCACATCACCCTTGAGGGCCAACTGTCTATAAAAACATGAATCTAGCCAATTAGTTAACTCTTGCGACATGCTTGCTGTGGAGGCAGTGCGTCCACTCTCGTTTTCCCCTCAATGGGGCTCCGGAACCCACAAGGGGAAATGAGGTATTAAATGGAATACATTTCTCAGAGGCTTAATACATTTGTATCAGTTGATTCATGCCCTGATACTGTGACCTTCATACCTTGAGGCTTACTGGAAATTATGATGTCAAAATGGCTTTTAAAAAGCCTAATAGTTCACAAGGAAATCCCCCCTAAATGCCATTTTTAGTAAATATAATCCTATCTTGACCTCTAAAATGCTCCATCGGCATTAAAAAAAACAACCAATGACATTAACTTGGTGTCACTGTAAAAATTTCAGGTAAGCGGTACTATCTGTGGATTGGACTCTGCTGGAAGTGCTGAGTTTGTTGCTTCCCGGGTTAAAAGGGTCAAAGCTGGAGTATTTATGTGGTTTTTTTAAAATGTTTGATAAAAGCTGTGGTGAGTTTTAGGTTCATGACTTTCCCTTACGGGATTCTTTCCTTGTCATTGGTCCATTAGGAATTTAATGCTCAACTCATATTTTCGTATTTACAAAAAAAAAAGCCACAAATACACACTAGCCACAAATACAAACTAGCAACAACAACAAACCAAAAAAATCTAGATAAAATGTCATTATCAACGGCTCTAAAATGTTTTAAACTATAACAAATCAATATTACATTTTTGGCATGGATAAAGTTAACCAAACAATAAAATGTACAAAATGTAATGAAGGTTACAAACCATTTGACTAGTTTCAATGGTTCTTTTTTGGGCATAATCTGATCCAGATAGTCCTCTATATTCCGGAACTGCTCCAAGATCTGATTTCGAATGCCCTTCTGAACTGACGACTTGGCAATATTGGAGTTGCCAATATTCTCTTTCTCGTCAAATCTACAACAACAAAACAAATAAAAGATCAATACAAATTACAAGTGCTTCTGCCAACTGGCCTGGGCGACCATGTTTCTTCACATCTTGCCATTTTCAACAGCACTGGTCATTTCAAGCACAGACACTTATCTGTTACTTAACTCTTTGAGTCCAAGGGGGTTTAGCATCACAGGCCCAAGGGGTAGTCAAGAAAGACGTAAAATCGGCGCATCTTGCGTTCATTGGGCTTCTAGGTAGGAATCTATGAACATATGACGCGTTCCTTGGTACTCAAAGAGTTAACAAAAGACTTCAGTAATCATCTTTAGTTGTCACTCTCTTACCATACATTTGGCAGGTGTCACATCCGAGCAAGTAGGTTTAGCAGAAGACAAGCTATGACAGGAATGATGTTTCAAGCAATAGCATGCCAATGTGGCATTAAATGTTGTGTTGGAATGCGCCAGACTTGCAATACAGTGTAGCAATAGTAGATAAAACTGTCTCAGCATAGATTACGGGGGAGGGAGGTTGAAAGACCCACCAGCCTCCCTAATAAGCAGGTTGTAAAATGTAATTAACTAGAATGTTTCCTTTGAAGTTGGAGTACATATGCCCAAGAGGTGAAGGACCACCTGTCTGCATACAAATAAACCAGATTTGTAAAACTGTTGTACATGCAAAACTCAAGTTCTGGAACAATACTAAAATTCAGAAATAGATTAAAAAAAGCAGAACTTTTTGTCAGAGTTTCCAGCTGGTGAAGTAAAGAAGAAATCAAACCAACTGGTAACAGCAATTACCCCTCTGTTATTTGTGCAAAATAATTAACAACTCCTTCCGTTGAAAAAAAAAAAAAAAAAAAGAACATCAACGTTTTGTTCACTTTAGTCCAGTGCAACAAATATGGAGTTTAAGGTTTTTTTAACGTGGGCAGTATCCAATGTCATCATGCTTATCCTAACCCTCTGAATTCACCTGAATTTCAAAGCTCCATATAAAATATAGGCTATCCTCCAAATAAGGGGCACATATTATGGCGGTCCAAAACACACAGTGACAGGGCCTCAGTTACATGTAAATTGCGGACTTCCAGCGACTTAAATTGCGGACTTTCTGCGACTACCGCCACCACCGAGAGTATCTTCCGCGCCGCTAGGAGCCGGGCTAAACTACATGGCTGGAACTCACGAGCAGTAGCTTCTGCATCTCCTACAGTTTTGCTCGTGAGTCCCAGCCATCTAGTTTAGCCCACTCTGTGCCGCGGGAGATACTCTCGGCGGTGGCGGTACTCGCCAGAAGTGAGCAATTTAAGTCCCTGGAAGTCCGCAATTTTCATGTGACTGAGGCCCTGTCAGAATGTATTTTTGGCTGCCATAATATGTGGCCGTTATTCGGAGGATAGCCAATATATATTATAGGTGATTCTGTCATACCCTTCAATTTCCTCTATTATGTGCAGACACCAGCTAACGAATTTTGATATATTTTTGTAGTTGTTCATTTTAATGTTCCATTCATTCACTTATACACAGGAGATTACTTTTTGTAAACATTAGGGTGGCCAAATATAAGTTATATTATAACTGTTTTTATACATCTGACAGGGGTATCTGGAATTTAATCCTGTTGGATTGGCATTTGTATAATGGATCCCTGTGTCAAATCTTTAGATCGCCATCCTGTGGGGAAAGGGATGGGGGTCTAATAATATTAGTAATACAGTAATATAAAAATATAGACTTTATACAGTACACTGATTTGACACCAGTGGCTAGTATATAGCGACTACAGTTTCGACAATTTGCGGTCTTTTCGGCAATTTCCGTTACCCGGAAACCGTTCAGAACTTGTTCGGGAAATCTCGGCTGGTTTCCGGATGGGTCCAAATCTCATGAAAATTCGCGATTGGTGGGAATTTGGACCAGCTATAAATAGCTGAAAACAGCGTGGGGGAACCCGATTAACAGCGCATGTCTACGACAGCCGGACTCCTCTGTTTTTCTGTTAGTCATCAGTTTGATTGAAAATAGCGGTAAATTCGAGGTTGGCTTTAGGCCTTAAACATTACCAGTTGTGGTAATGCTAGTTACAGTTGAATTCTCCGTCCAATTTTACATTTGCATATTAAATTTTTTTTACCGACTCTGGCTGTTTAGATTTACAGTGACATTTTTTAGGCAATCGCATGCGGCTGAGTGAGCTGAGTCTCACTGCCTGCCATCTTGTCCAATGACAGTCCAATGTCAACAAAGCCGATACAGAACTGCGCAGTAGGTTGCGCAGTGAAAAACTTCTTGTTTCTGGGTCACAAGTTTTAGCGGCTGTTTCTTACATCTCATCTCCACAAAAACCTACATATCTCAGCTCAGAAATGACATACAAGCCTAAATGAGGTACCATTGGAAAGAGATTGTTTACAGCTATCTAACTGTGCTGGTTTTATTGGTGTAGAGGGAATTTTAAAAATTTGACTGAAGTACCTATAGTATATATACTCCTACACGTGATTTCCTTTGACAGTGTCACCACAATGCAAATGTAATGTTTGTAAAATGTGCACACTGTAGCCTTTGATGGGTACTGTGGCTGCTACACTGTTATGACAGTATGCGTCGTTACAGCAGCCTAAACCAAGTAATTTTTGCGAGTGAGTAGCTGTCAGTCAGTCAGTGCTCAGAATGAGAAAGTCAAAAGACTCAGTTCTGTCAACACATTTTTTAAGTTCAGCAATTCTTTTCAAACAGTTGACATGCGGACAGTTCAGTCAGCATTTATATCAAACTGCTAACTCACTTCTTAAACATATTTCCTCAAGAAAGTCGACCTATGTTCGAATAAAGTGTAGGAGAGACAAAACAAATCTCGTTTTAGACCGGGTCGTGTGTATCTGCTTCTGTCGTCTGTTCCAGCGGAAGTTGAATCAAGTCCACCACAAAAACTTGGATTGGAAGCAAATGGGAATGACAGGCAAGGATTGGACAGTACCTCACAAGAAATGTTAGCATATCAGGTGTTAATCCTTCGAAGTCGGAGTGCATCTGTCTGAGAGGCAAGGAACCAACAGTCTGCATACAAATAAGTCAGATCTGTCAAACGGATCCGCACGTAACACTCAGGTTCTGGAACAGGACTGCAGTCCAGAAGTGGACGAACAACCAGAACTTTCCGCCGGAGTTTACAGCCGGTGAACGCGAAGAAGAAGAAGAAGAAGAAGAAGAAGAAGAAGAAGAAGAAGAAGAAGAAGAAGAAGAAGAAGAAGAAGAAGAAGAAGAAGAAGAAGAAGAAGATCAGGTGCTAAACACTTTGAAGTATCTGGTATCCCAGGTCCCTTTAAATATCCCCAGTGATATATTACGCAATATGATTATAAAAAGTGATTGAAAGTGCACTTAAAATATATTAAACTTAACAGTCTACAAATCTCTTTCCAGTTTATATATATATATATATATATATATATATATATATATATATATATATATATATATATATATATAGAGAGAGAGAGAGAGAGAGATTATATGGTCAGCTCTGTGGCTAAGTCGATGCGAACGCTTCGTAATGCCGGGGTGCCGGATTCGATCCCAGCTGCGGGCCATGTGCCTTGCGTTGGTTTCGACAGTGGTATCAAGGGGCCGACCGTCCAGCAGCAATGGCAAACTACTGGACGTAAATTTGCCTAGAGAAACCACACAACAGCCAGGGGCTGCTGGGGTTGGTTCTGCAACGTCCTGTAAAGGATACGCAACTAACCTTTCAAATATATACATATATATAAACTATGCAGTAGTATTATACACAACAATAAACATTATTTGACAAGTATAAATGTTTATTATTGAAAATGAAAAAAAAAAGTCTTTATGTCCCAACTATAATCCGGATGGGTTGAAGAGGCTATTGTTGTTTAAATTACTTCTGCTACTTTATAACTCTTTACTGCCTACATTTCTTTCGAAGTCAGAGTGCACCAGAGAGAACCAACAGTCTGCACACAAGTAAGACAGATCTGTAAAATAGATGTGCACGCACCACTCAAATTTTTGGCGAGGCCCGGCATGGCAGTCCGGAGCCTGAGCAGATAAGGCTATGTGTCTGGTGCAGTCGCCACAACCTGTGCGGATTCGGATTTCTATTTTTGCCCCAGACCAAAAAAAAAAATGTTACTTTATTTTTAAAGGACTTAGGTGTCGCCACCAGCCAAGATCGATAAATCGATCGATCCTCCTGTTGGGTAAATAGATGAATTGACAGACAGACAGACAGACAGATAGACAGACCGACAGACAGACAGACAGATCGATAGATAGACAGATAGATAGATAGATAGATAGATAGATAGATAGATAGATAGATAGATAGATAGATAGATAGATAGATAGATAGATAGATAGATAGATAGATAGATAGATAGATAGATAGATAGATAGATAGATAGATAGATAGATAGATAGATAGATAGATAGATAGATAGATAGATAGATAGATAGATAGATAGATAGATAGATAGATAGATAGATAGATAGATAGATAGATAGATAGATAGATAGATAGATAGATAGATAGATAGATAGATAGATAGATAGATAGATAGATAGATAGATAGATAGATAGATAGATAGATAGATAGATAGATAGATAGATAGATAGATAGATAGATAGATAGATAGATAGATAGATAGATAGATAGATAGATAGATAGATAGATAGATAGATAGATAGATAGATAGATAGATAGATAGATAGATAGATAGATAGATAGATAGATAGATAGATAGATAGATAGATAGATAGATAGATAGATAGATAGATAGATAGATAGATAGATAGATAGATAGATAGATAGATAGATAGATAGATAGATAGATAGATAGATAGATAGATAGATAGATGGATGGATGGATAGATAGAAGTGTATGCAGACAGAGAGATACACAGAAAAGACCCTGAGCTGTCCCACATTATGGAAGGGAACGATAAAGAGTATCACGTCGCCCGTGAGAAAACAGCAAATGTTTTAACAGATACCTGATGCATTGCTTCCAGTCTCCCAGTATCACGTGTCCACCAGAAATCACATATGTTGAAAAAAAAACGTTCAGCAGAGAATAAAAATCAAAGGCGTCTCTTCAAGTTTTCTGTGCTGGATAACTGAGCAGAAGCAGTTAATGAACACAATTCTGAAGTACTCAACATTACTGAGTACTTTGATCCTTTAATAACACACTGATGACCGCATGGCAGACAGTGCCTACCTGTGGCTACTGGCGAGGGCAAAAGGGTGCTGCCAGCCTGGGTAGCGTTGGTAGTCACAACACACACACACACACACACCCACACACACACACACACACACACACACACACACACACACACACCACACACACACACACCAAACACACACACACACACACCACACACACACACACACACACACCACACACACACCCACACACACACACACACACACACACACACACACACACCACACACACACACACACAACACACACACACACACACCCCACACACACACACACACACACACACACACACACACACACACACACACACACACACACTCACACACACACAACACACACACACAACCACACACACACACACACACACACACACACACACACACCCACACACACACAACACACACACACACACACACACACACACCACACACACACACACAACACACACACACACACACACACACACACACACACACACACACACACACACAACCTTTAAGGACACGCTAAAGACGTCACGTAAAGCTTTTAACTTGGACCCTGACATATGGAAGGCTACTGCACAATACTGGTCTTCACATGGCGAACGCCTTTCGCAGAGGGGCAGAGACCTGTGAGGCTTCAAGACAAAGGGCAGCTGAACTGCGCAGGCATGCAGGCTAGAAAAACCAGTATAACAGAACCCTTACCCAGGGATACTGATACCTGCCCTCAGTGTCCTACATCCCTCCTGGCCCGTACTGGACTTATAAGTCACCTCCGGACTCACACACACACAAATTTCAACTACAGTTTCCAGATGAATGAAAGAAAGAGTTGTTTTCATCACTTGTGATAGACGAACAACAATGTTTGTCATGAAGGCAAGAAGAATCGTTCGTTATTTTACTTAATCCTTGATTTTGGCACAGGAGTCATGTTAGCATAGTTGCTAGTCGGCTTGCCTGCAGGACTCGTGGTCGCGTGTTCGAATCATTCTTGAGGCCGAGAATTCACAGAAAATGACATGGGATCCTAAGTTGGTCCAGCCTGAAATTGGAACCAGGAGAGTTAATGGGAACTAAGGGCAGCCGATGCAAACATCATTTACTGCTTAAACAGAAAATAATTGTTAGCCATTTAATGACAGTTTGATCACATGCTGGAATAGCTTCTGTTGTTGTTTCATCCAAACCAGATGCTTTGTTTTTTTAGTGCTCTTGTGCTGTATAACTGATTCTACGTCTGATGTTTAAAAGTTTTGTGTTCGTGCTTCCGCCTGCTTTTAGGCACAACAATGATGTTATCGACCTTTTTCAGGGTTGAGTAGCTCTTTAAAACATTCTGCCCATCTTGCTAGCCTTTGATGTAGATTAAATCTAGGACTGCCTCTCTTGTTGTTTATAATGGTTGTTGGATTGTAGCATTCATATCTTACTCTCATATTTTTAACCTGTTTGTTAACATTTTGTAGACAAAATTCTGCTAAGTGTGGCCATCAGCTCTCCATAATGTTTCCATGATTAGTCTTTAGAAACTTTGATTACTGACAGAAAACAACTGTGTTCCTTCAGTGCTCTCCCGTTTCTCCATGCCCTTACAACGTCTGTTCTATCGCATGAGCGGAGAACAGGGTAGTAATTACAGAATGACACCTAAGTGAATCTTCTTAACGAAGATGTAAAAACCATTATGAAGGATGGTGACGAACACATACTCAAACATAGACATTTAAAAGAGAGAGCCGACACTGATGGGTTGGTGCTAATTCGAACTGTAATCAGATTTCCGTTGCAAACTGACTGAACATTTTCCTCGGCATTCGAAGAAAGGCGGTGTTGTGCTATATTGTCCATCAGAAATGAAGTTCCTTCTTTTGTGTATCTTTGTGGCTGTGGCTTGTGCGGTGATCATAGAAGGTAAGAGCATATATTTAACTGTTGATGGTTGAGGAGCGGTAGGCCGAACGGTTAGAACGCTGTGCTATCAAGCGGGAGACCCGAGTTCGAATTATTGTTAACATTGGGGATTTGTTTCTGTCGCATGGCAAAATTAAAATCATAACTTGCGCAGTTCGTGACAACAGCGCCAGACATGCTGCCTTAAATATTCAGTCTCAAAGACCTACCCTCCCCTTACACCACAAAATCACAAAATGTGGTAAATACAGGCGATAATGGCAGTCTTGTCAGAATGTTTAGGTTAGAGTGCGTTGGTGACACAATTGTAATTAGATTTTGCCTTCCCCCCCCCCCCCCCCCCCCCCCCCAAAAAAAAAAACTTCCAGCCACTCGCCTATACATAAGGCAAATCCCCCATTTAGAGAAAACCAGAAGCAGACTGGAAAACGAAGACAGATTATAGTCATCAACAAGTTTACTGAACAATTTAAAAAAAAAACAAATCAAGTCACCATCTTTCGCCAACACTGGACAGGCTCAACAAACACTACATAAATGAGGCATGAGCTAGGCAGCTTTCTGCCAGCGTCTTCACGAAGAACCGACTCCAGAACATGTCCTGCAAGACTGTAATCTCCTGAAGGAGCTGGGAAGCAGCATG